TTTTTTTGATTGGCCGACTTGAATTCGATTTTCTTTAGTTTTTCTTCTAACAAGAGATATTCACAAAGTGACAAACAAAGCTTTTCTAAAAAAAACAAGGAAACCCAAAATGTCTTATAGTTAGCTTTTGAGTAGCTTACCGTAAATACTGTAATAGTACCCCACCCCCATAATGACGGTGCGGAGTGTTGCGTAGTCTAGCTTTGGACGCGTTTTTCTCGACACTGGTTTATGCTACAATGCGCGCTTAGGTATCAAAAAATAGCCCTGAATTTCAGCTATTTTTTAAGACCAAAGACGCATTTTTTGAAAGTACGGGCGCTTTGAAAAAAATGAAATACTAAAAAAATTTAGCGACTACGCGACTGTATGAGGGGGTGGGGTACTATTACAGTATTTACGGTAGGTTGTTCCAAAGGCGAAGCAATACAAAGATCTGATCTGGCTTTACCGCATTATAAAGTGAAGCCCGGCATAGTTTACAAATCCTAGAGTCTGGCTCTTGTAGAACAATGATCAATGATAAATTATAGTTTATTGAAATGACTGTCTTAGCATAGAAATAACTTGCCAAATAAAAACCAAATAAAAGTTTGCCGACTAAACGATTCCATTCTTAAATATCCACAAAGAGATCAAAAACCCATCAAAAATTCACTCCAAAGATTAACAAGTTGAAGAAAAGAAAATCTCAAATTGCTTTCGAATCACGAAAATTGAAAGATCACAAAGCTTTTCAATATGAAAATTTTTGAATAGGGAAATAATGAAATCGTGAAATTCTGTGAAATAAAAAATTCCGAAATCCCACAATCTCTTTTCATCTCAATTTCTTTTATAAAAAAGACTCAAGCTTTCAAGAGAATATTTTAATTTTTAAACCCAGAAATCTCTGAATTGTTCATCAAAAATCGGATAACTGGTGGCTAGGTATGAGAATGAAAATATTGTGTGATTCTTTCGATTTATGGAAAGATTACGGTAGCTTTTAAGAGTTTACGTTCACTCTTCTCTTCATTACAGAGCAAAGTCGTTTCTTTGATTGGCAGAGGGATGGTCATCGGTATTTGATGGTCAAGACGGGTAGTTTGAATCTCTTTGATCAGTGGAAGCATTGGATCATGATGATTTCTCGATCGATCGATCGATCAATATCAGGAGATTTGTTGGACTTAATTCTTAGCACTTCTTAAAGATATTCCTGAATAGATTTATTTTATTTAACTCAGATCGGACAAAATCGAAGTTGAAAGCAATGAATTTGGTGTTGTAGATGTTGTTGTTGTTGTTTTTCCAAAATTAATATGTTATTCGTGTAATTTTTGAAGTTGTTAATGTTTTAGTTGTGGTATTCAGTATAGAAAATCCATTGTTAGCTGCCTGAGTGGTCTCTGAGAATGGAATAAGATTAGTATTCAAAGACTTATGTTACGCGTTGTCGTTGTTGCTGTTGTTGTTGCTGTTGCTGTTGTTGTTGTTGTTGCTGTTGCTGTTGTTGTTGCTGTTGTTGTTGTTGCTGTTGTTATTGTTGTTGTTGTTGCTGTTGTTGTTGCTGTTGCTGTTGTTGTTGCTGTTGCTGTTGTTGTTGCTGTTGTTGTTGTTGCTGTTGTTATTGTTGTTGTTGCTGTTGTTGTTGCTGTTGTTATTGTTGTTGTTATTGTTGTTGTTGCTGTTGTTATTGTTGTTGTTGCTGTTGTTGTTGTTGCTGTTGCTGTTGTTGTTTTTCCAAAATCAATCTGTTATTCGTGTAATTTTTGTTCTTGTCAATGTTGGGATGTCGAAAATTTCACAAAATCGAGGTTGAATAACTAGTTTTTGGGGATTGTGTTGAAAGGATTGTGAATTGAATGACAAAAAGATGGGTATTGTGTGATCTTTTGTATCTCTTTACCTTTTTCTTTTTTCTCTTTTTCCTTTTTACCTATGATTCGTGAACCGTAGCCATTTTATGAGAGATTGGGAAAAGAAGAGTAAAGACAAGGTGGGAAAGAGAATACAGTAGTTGAGTTTTTCAAATGAGATTGATTGATTCTTTTGAATTAAAGCCAAGTGCTCAACAAGTGAAAAATTTTTCAGAAAACTTTTGCCATTAGATATATCTACGTAACTTTTTAGTTGTTTTACTAGAAAAAAAATCAATCAGCTCATAGCAAACATTCAAGAATTCGAAACAATTGCAACAATGCAACACTCCAACAATTTGCAAACTGTCGAATCAGGAACCAAATCTAGAGAGATAAGGAACCTAATTTGTACATATATTAATTGTAACTCTGTTTATTCGATCTATGAGCATCTAGGCCTTTCTATAATTGATTAAAGCAGAAAATATTTACCTTAACCGCTTCTTTCTTCTTCACAACTCTGTTTCCAAATGTTGTAGGTTGAGACTTTCCGGCGAGTTTTGACGGCTTTTCTTCCACTAGTTCGGGTTTCTTTTCCACCACTTTTACTGTTTCTTCGATGTTTTGTTTGTTTTGTTGCTTGAAAATGCTTTGTTTTTTTTAAAAATATAGGGGGTGGGACAAATGCGACCTTTTTTTTTTGCGCACCTGGACATTTGCGCACCTTTTTTTGCTGGAAAAGGCCTTAGGAAAGGTCGTAGAGCTTCAAAAATGTTTTCATAGAAGGGAATCGTATGCGTAGATTCCAAATTTCGACAAATCAGACCTCGCTGACACGTCAAATTTGGGCTAAAAGGCAAAAACTACGCAACTTAACGCTTTTCCGTAGTTTTTGCCTTTTAGCCCAAATTTGACGTGTCAGCGAGGTCTGATTTGTCGAAATTCGGAATCTACGCATACGATTCCCTTATGTGGAAATATTTTCGAAGCTCTACGGCCTTGCCTAAGGCCTTTTCCAGCAAAAAAAAGGTGCGCAAATGTCCAGGTGCGCAAAAAAAAGGTCACATTTGTCCCACCCCCAATCGATTTGTTACAACGATTTTCAAATTCTAAAAAAGCTATTGGTTTCTGCGTAGCTGCCCAGCCCTTTAGGTCTTTTAGGGCAGCTAAGAAATTCAGAAATTCGACGCAGGTTAAATCAAAATTTTTCGTCCAGAGCAAATCGTTAAATCGACTTTATTCTGTTGTTCAATCAAAAAGTTTGATTCATAAAGGTTTATTAAAGTAATCTTGTGCTTATTCATTTCTAGCAGGCATATTTGAGTTGAAACGAGGAGCAAAGCAATTGAAAGTATTTTGTTGATTTGTATGCTCTCTCTTCTTTTTCTCATCCTTTTCCCTTCACAATTCTATTCAAATTGTTCCCCCAATTTGTGGGATTTCTCTCTCTTTCCATACAATACCAATTCAACACACTGTAATCATCCAATTAATCAACGGATTCAAAGAGAGCATTCGACTAGAAACATTACCGCGTCAAAAAGTTATGAAAGTTGAAACAAACTACGTTAGAGTTTCACAGATTTCGTTCTCTAAAAGGTGTAAAGCTACCGTATTTCTTCGAATAGAAGACCGGGTAAAGAGTATCATAGCATACTCTTGCGTAGCAGCCCTTTTTAAAATTTCTTTTCTGCATAAAAGCTTTCAAGTGCTATAGAGCTGGAAAATGGCTCAAAAATCTGTTAGCTCATGTGGTATTTTTGAGTCATTCTTCAGCTCTATAGCACTTCATTGAAAGCTTTTATGCAGAAAAGAAATTTTAAAAAGGGCTGCTACGCAGGAGTACGCGATCATACTCTTTACCCGGTTTTCTATTCGAAGAAATACGGTATTTAAACTTTCAAAAGCTGCCGTTAGGTTATTTAAAAAACTCAAGACGAAATTACGGTAGCTTTCCAAAATTGACACGCTTTACAGAAGCGTAGAAAGCGTAGAAAGCGCTTTATCGAATTTATGTAAAGCTATTTAAATTGTTTGAAACATTTTCACCTTTCTTTTCCTCAAAAAAAAAAGAATTTTTCTTTCTTAAAAGAATGTGAGTGAAATGGGCTCATTTTAGGCACTTTGTTTTATTTCCCTTGGGACTTCAAAAAGGGAAACAATTCTTTTTGACTTTTTTGACTTAAAGAAAGAAATTCTTTTTCAAATTCATTTTCAAATTCATTTTCAAATTCATTTTCAAATTACTTTCAAATTACTTTCAAATTTAAAGAACAAATCTTCTGAAGCAATGGATACATTTGACGATAACGAGGTTAAAGATGGTCTTGAGGGGAAATGGAGATGGAAAAAGAACAAATGAAAATGAGATTGACACGAAAGTGGATGAGAGAATCGAGAAGAAAAGGAAAAGGAGAGAATAGAGCTAATGGATTGAGTGGAGAATGGCTATGGATTAAGTACAGAAGAGAGCCCAAGCCTTTTCAAATCTTAAAAACAAAGTTCTATGATTAAAACACATTATCTACTATATATAAAGGGACTAAGACGTTTGCCTGTCCGTTTGTCTGTCCATTTGACTGTCCGTCTGTCTGACCGTTTGTCTGTCCGTTTGTTTGTCCGTTTGTCTGTCCGTCTGTCTGCCCGTGCACGCTACTTCTCAGCCCCCAGAGGACCGTTTGCAATGATTTTTGCGCCATTGAATAGGGGAATTACATGTAGTTGTGCAACGTGCTTTTGGTGTTTTTTAAAAAACACAATTCGGGTCGCACGGGGAGGTCGAACCCAGATCGTATGGGCGATAGACCGGCGCGCTATCTACTGCTCCACGGTGACAAAAAGCACCTAGCCTCCAAAAGCATCGAGAAAAATTCTCGGCTTGTAACGTTATATAGGATACTCATGTAAAATCATAGTAACCAAAATAGGTTAATTTCTTTGAATGCTGAAATCTTGCACTCTTGCTGAATGAAAATCAAATTTCGAGCAATTTACAGCTAATCGGCTTAAATTAGTATATCAAATTGTCAAATTAACTTAACAAAATATCAAATTGAAAAGCTCAACAATTCCACAGGCCAAATTTTTACGTGATCATCGGAAACGAAGTGCGATAAATCTTTAATAGCACCAAAAAATAGCTCTTCTTTTGTCTCACAATTGTGTTGCTTGATGTGAATGAAGGAGATAATTTGATGAGTGATTTTGTGGAGCACCCCACCCATCAACTACATTCATCTCATTCATCCCATTCATCGATCCCATCCCTTTTGCTCGACTCAACCATTCCTGAAGGCAGTTTTAGAGCGATTTTTTTTTCTTCAGCCTTACTAGATTATTTCAAAAAATTTCATATATGGATAGGTTTTGTACAAGTTTAGTATTGAATAATGGTCGATAAAGGTTCACTTTATCGAATCCCAATAAGCCATTGATTGAGTACGGAGTAGTGAAGGGAGATTGACCAAATGGAATTGGAAGACTCGTCGGGGTGATTGGAGGGATATTCTGAAAGATTTTCTTTTGTTATGGCCTGGTGATGTTTACTGTGATGGCTGACTGTTAGGAGCTCTCAGATCTTAGTCGAGAGATCAACGCTTCAATCCCATCAGCTAGATTATTGGTTCTTTTTCCGGGCTTAGCGATTGTGCTTGTTTATTGTTTATACTATATTATTCGTTTGAATAAATGTTTCCTTTTAATACCTGAGCAACTGAGGGACTGTGTGTAGTTTGTGAAGAAAGAATTGAGAGTGATGTTGAAGATGATGATGATGTGGAATGTCCGCCTTTATTCCGTACAATTCGATTGATTGAGGAAACCGATGGGACATTCTCGGCATCGCAAATCCCTTCCTGAAAGATTTGAAAGCTTGAAAATGCTAAAATGAGATCTCACACGAAGAAGCCTTTCCCGAATCTCCCACGCGAACATCGTCGGATTGTTTCTTTTATATCCAGTGATACAATCGACCACTCGAGGTGTGGCGACTTTTGGTTTCGATCCACCGATTACTCCTGAAAATCGTGGTGTATCGTAGTCGTAATCGTAAATACCGTAGTCGAAAAGTGTAGCAATCTAACTTAACACTGGATAGCCCTATACTCTTGTCAAGATTGAATTGAATTGAAGTTCGAAACGATCACCAAAAAACAACTGGCGCCTCTATGTCCCATTTTCTTCTCACATTTTCTTCTCTCTTTCTTCTTCTTTCTCTTTCAAAGAATTTTTCGTTTAGCATTAATATAAAGCATAGTATAGAGAATTTTAAAATTTGCATAAGTGTCTTCATTTTAAACTTTAGATATGCCAAACTATAGACATGCCATTCCTACTGTATAAGTTTGCGACTTTTTGATTCTTCGATAAGCCCAAGTATTATAAATTAAAGTTAAACGATAAAAGTGATCATATAGCTTACAATTAGATCTCTAAATCGAAATCTTTCCCTAAGCAAATACCTCTTTTGAATACATCAGAATTGAAGGACTTTTCTTTTAATTCTCACCGGAATGACCTCAATTTTCGAGGTTTTGTTTGATTTCCGGTATCTCTCATCCCTTCTTTCCCTCTTTCCCTCTTTCCCTCTTTCCCTCTTTTCACCATTCTCTTAACCGCCTTTTCTCTCTTTTTTCTCATCTTTCAATACAAAACCCTTCAAAGGGATTAGCATATGAGAACTACCCCATTTGTGAGATTCACACAAAACAAGAGATTCCACTTTTGTGTCTGTGAACAAAATTTCGAGAAAGTTGAGATTGTGGAGATTGATTCAGTCTACTTTAGCTGGATTACGGTATTAAGTGTAGATTGTGATTTCCGGAGAGACAACAAAAAGATTTTATAGAATTTTCGATTCAAAGTGAATACCTAAGTGAACCATTAAATACTTCAGAAACCTGGTCGTATCGATCCCGTCTCATAATATCGTCCGAGAATTTTGCTCACACATCCATGACTGACTCTCAATTGCCGTGAGATGTCACACGGACGAACACTCTGATGGGCGAGCTCGATGATCCTGAAATGAGTTTTTTTTTCGCATTAAGACATTGAATCACATAGAAATAGAGAAATTACCCTCTCAATTACTCACTAAAGTATGCTCAACTCCCGAAAACTACCGTAACCCCTAGTTTTGTTCAATCTAGCAACGTTCGATTTGTTTCTGTCAGGTCAGTGTTTACGAGAAAACATAAAATGAAATAAATTTGATAACTAAAAGCAAGGCTACGATATTTTTAGAGTTTGGTTCTTTGTGAAGATGGATGAATTAAGAGAAACTCTAGCCTCGAACCCAAAGCAGAAACTCTCACTATCAGGTTTCATTTTTTTAAAAATTTAATATTAAATCGATTATTGCATCAAACTCATTTTCTCCTCGACACAAACCGATTTCTGATGAGATCAGGCAGTGGGCGTCCATTAACAAAAACGCCTCCAAGTTGGTTGACTCCCGTATGTCCATGATCAACAACTAGGGGGAAGCGCCAAGTGTTCGAATAAGACGCCGAGTACGGTGATTGGAGTTGAGGAACAGGACATGGCCAACAGCCAGTATTAGATATGGATACAATATGAGAAGAAGGGACCTGCGAAAGGGTCTCTAAGGGAGTCGACATCTCTCGTCGTTGTTTCGTGTGTCCCTTCGTGGTTCGATGCCCTTCAACGCTCTACCGCCCCTTCCCTTCTCCTCCCCACCATCCCTCTTCAATTTCCTTTCTTTTTTTTGGTTTGATGGCTCCGCCCTTTATCCTCTATTGGTCTACCCGCATAAACTTGGTTTACTGTATTTGTTTTGACTTATTTAATTAGCTAACTCATTACACCTCTTTGGGAAAAGTTGCGCTCGTTGTGCTAGAAATTTACTTTATAAATGTTCAGCTTTCAACTGTCAGAGAGTGTGGATTTGGTTTTATTAAAACATGAACTCGCACGCTGACAAAATAAAATCATCAAAGTAACACAATAAACATTGATAATTTTAAAAAATCTAACAAATTTGTTACGAAGTTTTCATTGGAGGAGAAACGAGAATCACCGCGTCGCCTCTCACAAATAACATCGGTAATGTTCTCTTTGTTTGACGATAGATTTCCTCGAAAGATTCTTCATCCACTTCAACAGTTGTCACCGTCTCCTCTACCTAAAGTTGAATATTCAAAAACCCAATATCATCTTTTAACAGCTTATCCTCACTTTTAATCAAAGAATGACGTTTCTTTTTGTGATAAAAACTCACGTTCGACAAAATCATGTTCAAATGCTGATCAAAAGCATGCAATTTTCCTCTGATCTAAACAAAATAATGTACAGGGTGTTCAGTATTTACGGCGACTTCCTTTTGGTAGATTAGCTCTCAAGCGCCAAGTTCAACCCTAATGTGTTAAGTTATATAAAATGTTGAAGCCCTTAATCTTGGCTACATTTATCTATTAAAAGTTTCCCGATTAGAGATATACAACTCATTTTACAAGCCCTTGAATGAGTACTAGTTGGTCCCCTTTCCGGCACGCTACCATTTTTGGTGGTTTTCTTCATAAACAATTCTTCAATCAGAAAGAGTTTCTTACGGCCAAATTTGTGGCATTTTGTCTAAAATTTATTTTCAAATTATCTTCTTTCCTTGCGCCACCAAAGGAGCTTGCCTTCAACTCAAACTTGAGTAAAACGGTTCGGTCAAAAGCAGTTCTTAATGTTATTAAATGGTGGTAAATAATATTTTAACATAAAATAAATATCTAAAACTTTTTCTGACAATTTTTTATGAAGAAAATCACTAGAAATGGCTGGAGAGAGATCAACTAGTACTCATTCAAGGGCTCGTAAAATGAGTTGTATGTCTCTAATCGGGAAACTTTTAATAGATAAATGTAGCCAAGATTAAGAACTTCAACATTTTATATAACTTAACACATTAGGGTTGAACTTGGCGCTTGAGAGCTAATCTACCAAAAGGAAGTCGCCGTAAATACGGAACACCCTGTATGAAAACCCAGCAAACTTAACCTCTCTATCATTTCGCATTTTCACATAGACCTTTTCATCAAGACTTAAGCGAATGAGATCAAGTGGTTGCTCAACCGTTGATCCCAAGACCTAAACAAAATTTCAATGAGTTTTTAATAAAATTTCTATCAACCTGTGGTGTTATTTCGACGGCTTTTTCTTCTTTTTCGGTCATCTAAAAAGTATCTGTTACGTCCTATTAAGAATGTATTCTTAATCGGACGTAACATAAACATGGAATTTGAAAAAAAGTATCTATTCAAAACCGATAGGTAAATTTAAAGTCTGGAAAACAAATTGAATAAAGCACCCAAAAAGTTGAAAAATTTATTTATGATTCAATAGCACAGAAATAAAAAAACATTTCAGTTTTCACTTTTTTTCACGCGCGATGGGGCAATCAGATGTAGACCAGTTTCCTTATTCACAAATCCAATAGGCCCGAAATCGCATTCAGCACAAGTAAGAAATTTGACCTAAATAAAAGGTTGATTCAACGATATTTGCTAATAACTTGTAAGTACTATTAACATTAGAAACTTACCCCATCCACTGAGTGTGTAAACCCGACGTTTTCAAAATCCATCATATTTGCTAGAATCCACCACTCACACAAAAGCTCTTTGTCAACCCCGCCGGTGTTTTGATTTTGACGACGTTGACAAGCTAGCGGCAACTCGTGTGATTCTAAATTCATAAAATTTTACAAATGAGACATCAATCTTTACTCGACTATCTATAGACAAAAGATTAACAAACCGTCGCTCCATGAGGCCACGTTTGCCAGAGCAATAACGCAAGAACAGTATTCACATTGGATTGAGATGTCGTTTTTATCACCATTCGACTAAATCGATTGATTCTTGCTATCTTATGTATTAAAGAAGTTGAAATTTTGAATAGGAAACTTACCGGCATTTTTACAAATTGAGAAATTGTTTTTCGGAAAATTTAGCAATCAGTTGATCCTTCACCGCGATCTAAATTTGATGAATATTTGCAATTTGTTTACAAACAAACTAAATAAGCACTTACTTGCCGGTAAAGATCCTGGATCTTAATTAACTGGTCTCCTTCTTCGCCGTCAATATCAGGTATTTGCCGAATATTTGCCTAAAAGCAAATTATTGTTGGGTATACCGGTAGTTTAAACCTTTAACTGTTCACCCGCTTGTTCAATTGCCTTGAGCCTGTTGACGTTATCCGTACTATTTCCCTTTTCGAATCTTCATTTAATTTTTAATGTTTAATGATAAGTTGGAAATAATCCCTTACGAGCTGATTAAAAAGTTGATGTCGGTAAAAAGTTTGTTTACGACTTTCACACACTCGGCTTTGTTGTTCGACTGATTTCCAGCACTCATACACTAAATTCAATTTGATTTCCCAAGCTCAACCTTTTTCACGTTTACCAAAAAAGAAATACAAATGAAAATGAATACACTTTCTAAGACACACTCTTTGTAATGTAAAATACTTTTATTTGGCAGAAGTACAGGTGAACATCAATAAGTAAAGAAGAATTTTACCTAAAACAGTTCAAAAATATCACAGTAATAAACTCGTAATTTCGACTATTTATTGGTCATATCTTCAGTAATGCCCGCAGCTCGCAATTCCTCTGTGACCCTGAGAAGGTAGTCAGCATCAGGGTAGCCAAAACTAAAAAGATATTACAATGAGCTTAAGTGAGCTTAAGTGAAAAATACCTTCCGCCATGAAGAGTAGTCTTGTGATGGATGTTGTTCCAAACAGCTACATTCTGAGCGCCAGAAGTTATTGAATCGCCCACAGTGAATGTCAAACGACATTCAAAAGCCTTTTCTAACAACTTTAGAACCTAAATTTAAAAGCGTTTAAGATTTTTACAAAAGCCGTACCTTGTGACCTTCAGGAGTATTTGGTAAATATGCTTGTCGGTGTGTACCATGAAAAGGCACACCAGGGCGCAGGTGAGTTGCCTAAAGCACAGGGTTGTTTAATTAAAATTCTTCAATACCTCTTGAATTCCACTGGGAACGCTATAATCGATGCTAATGTAGCCACGTCCACCTTCTAGATTGATGCCACCGTTAGTAATCTAAAAGTTTGCGTAACAAATGAAATAAAAACACACAGACCACATGGTGTGCCATAGTAGATCCTCTTGGCATATTACCTTCTGGCAGAGCAAAAAACACTTGGCATGTAGGGCAACGTTTAAGAGTGGTTTGATTCGAATAGCTCTAGAACATTAAGTACAAAAACTTAAAAACATTTGTGACTTACCTCAAAGCAATTGTGGTGAAACATATGATTGCACTTTTTGATGGCTACAACAAAGTGGCTCTTATCCGACAACTCTCCAAGGCAAATGACGCAGACATCATCGTTCACCTATTAACAACTTTTTTAAAAACACCTTTATAGATTTAAAAAGGAAACTAAACTACAAAGACCAAAAAAGTCTACCTGATCGAGAGTAATAAAGTCCAAAATCGATGAATCATCGTTCGGTTTGACTTCTGGAATATCAACTTTCAGCTCGAACACCGCCATGAAATCCTTGATAACAGAACAACTTCGATCAACGATTCCAATTTCCTGAAAAGATTTTCTATGCAAAGTTTAAGATGACAATGTCTGACAAAGCGTTGAATACGGGCGATACTTTTTAAACGCAATACGTATTTCAATTTAAATCTTAAAAACATCTTGCCCGTCTGGATTTTACATGTCTAAAACAGTAAGTCACAAGAAATACAAAAATTTTCAGATTAATTTTATAGGTAATGCTGATATTAAACAAGTGGAAATTACCTTCAATTTATCTAACTTTCCATCTTCGATTTGTTGCTTAATTGCTTCCTTTAGTTTAAGCGCTGCTTTCTTGGAATCAACTTTTAGGCTTCCTAAAATAATAATTAACTTATTTAATTTCAGGAGTGTCGAATTATGCCCGTCGATTATATCACTATCAATCAAAAAGAATTTTACATGCTTAACTTACCGCAGCCAAAGCCAATTGTAGCAATTGATGTTAAACCAAGGTCGTGAACAGTATCGAAGAGTCCTTTGCATGCCATCTAAAAAGTAAACAATTTATGTTAATACAAAAACCCATACTAACCGTAACATGGAAACTGTCCGGCTCAACAGCTAGCAGCAGATTCTTCCAAGACAAATCACAAGACTCGACATTGACAACAATGATCGCGCCTCCGTGAATGGATCCAGGTGGTCTAACCGACCTCACAACGGCAAAGGCATTCTAAATAACATATTTGGTTAAGAAAATTCCAGCTCATTTGATACTATATTTTAGCTATTACGAAAATTTTACTACCTTAATTGCTGAGCTATTTCCGCGCTTGATAAGTTCCTTGTAGATTTCTTCGTTGATCCGCAATTCTTTAGAAGCCGACAAAACAATGGCATCGACCTCGGTGTCCAGAATACTACCCTAAAAAGAGCACAATGAACCATGATAATAAAAAACCCACGTCATAGAAGGAAACAGTGAGTTCTGGATCCTTGCGAAAGGTCATCGAGCCGAGTTTCGATGTCGATTTCATCTTGCACAACTTTTGATTTTTCGAATTTGATGGACTAATACTTGTGTTTGGTGTCTTTCTTTTTCTGACCATACAGAACTAAAAAAACGAATTAGAGGTTACGCCAATGGCTAACAAAAACTAGGAATGAAATGCCAAAAGCACATGTGCAATATAATAGGAAGAAATGCGGCAAATCGCATTTACAAAAAGCAAGCTACGACAAATGGGCAGGGGTTCCCTGTCATTTCGCCGAAAAAAAGATCATCCAGATTTTACGGTAGGCATGAGGTACGGCTTTAGTATTCAACGATTGCAGAGCTTTATATTTCGAAATTGTTTTGTGAAATGGTGGAAAAAGAAAAGGTGCGTAGCAGTCCTTTTAGCGACGTTGTTTTAAAAATTTAAGAAAAAGGCTACTACACAGTTTCCAACGGTAGGTTTCCGAACGAAATTTTTTCATTTGCGTGCATCACTGCACCAAAACTTGCGCAAAATTTTTGCAAACGCCCCTGATTTTCAAAACTCTTTCTATTACCTAATTCAAACATCACCCATGCATTGGAGTGCTGTGTACTCTTCGCGAAAAGACCATTTTCATTTATTTGGCGTAAGATGATTACATAACTGTTCCTTCTTTTCTCATCATTTTGTAACCATGACAAGCTAGGGATTTTCTTAGATTTCCTAACTCTTATCCGACTTTAGGAGTGTCCATCTATTTCATACTGTTTATCTATATCGGTTACTAATTCTCTTATTCGACCCGTTTTCTAATTCTTTCATTTTTGGCTATTTTAGGTAATCTTTTGCTTGCCAGAAGTTTATCGAAACGACTTCATTTTCGATCAATTAATTGGGTAGGCGCAGTTGTTTTAGTAACATTTTTATCAAATTGTTTAGATTGATCAATGAGTCCTGTGATTGCCAAACAGCAAGTCGAACTCGTCTCTTCACCTCCATCCAAGCGCGCCCGTGTTATTGAATTTAGCGACAATAAAGTAAGCGGTTTGGTTTTGTGCAGATATTAAGCTGATAACCACTTTGACTTGGGCGACTACTGTTAATTATTCAGGATGAGGGAACCCACCAAAACTTATCATAGAGCCGATGTCTTGTGGGGAAAGGCCAACCAAACCCCATCCATTGTGGAGGCCGTTCAATTTCATGGCATTAATATCACAAAAAATGATGCTCTCATAAAAGAAGTTGCCGAGCTTTACCGAAGTAACAACCTCGATCAGTTGGTCCACGATTCAAACTGTGCTGCAAAGCATTTGCAAGAAGTTGGATTGATGGAAAATGCTACCGCTTTAATCGATACAGCCCAGAGTAAAGAAGGCTACATTGTCAACTTTGTAGTCAAAGAGCCAAAGCCATTCACGTTTGGAGTCAAGGCGGGAATGAGTACTCAAGGTGATGCCGACCTCTCGCTAAACGCTGCAAAACAAAGCTGTTTTGGACGTGGTGAATCAATCAACGCTTCCTACTCAAATACCATCAAAGGCGATCATAGCTTCAACCTGAATTTCATCAAGCCATTTCTTGGTTGGCAAAAATATTCGAATTTCACCATGTCGTTGTATCGCTCAATGGCTCATCTGCCTTGGAATCAATCGAATTTGGATGAAAATGCTGTGATCCTACAATATAACGGGCAACTCTTCAACAAAAAGCTTTTGCATTCCCTGAAAATGAATTCTATTTGGAGGACTTTGCGAGTTACCGACGATGCAGCTTTCGCAGTTCGCGAGTTTTCAGGACATACGATGAAGTTTTCATTTGAAAATTCGGTCGCATATGACACGCGTGATCGGCCATTGCTGGCAACACGCGGTTTGCTGGGGAGATGGTCACAAGAATACGCAGGACCCTTGGGTGATCATCATTTTTTGAAGAATCAATTGGATTTTCAAGCATCGACGCTCCTTTTCAAAGATGTGATCTTGGCTCTTTCACTTCAAGTGAAATCAGTCAACAGCCTTGGTTCCAAGGAGTTACATTTGTTGGAACGAGCTTATTTGGGCGGCAACCAGGACCTACGCGGTTTCGGACTCAATACAGTTGGGGTCAGAGCGGATAATTCTTGCCTCGGAGGAGGAGCGGCTCTCGCGGGAGTGTTTCACCTGTATAAGCCACTGTTTCCTCCACAAATGCTTTACGCACACGCATGGATTGCCGGAGGTTCGATAGCATCGGTTCGATCCAAATCTGCAATCAAGGATATGCTTGAAGCTCAACGGAGCACGGCCGGGATTGGACTTACATTCGTCTTCAAAAATATTTTCCGCCTTGAATTGAATTATGTTCATCCAATTCAGACTGTCCCAGGCGATTCTTTTACCCGTGGGCTTCATATAGGTGCTGGTGTGAATTTTATCTAGGATCAGCTTAATGTTTGCACAAAACTTTACAGAATAGGTTGTTTGACGTACTTTTCAAATTTAGGAGTTGTTAAATGTTTTTTCAATATTTATATTATCTAAATCTTGTTTCTTTAAAACTCTCTGAATAAAGTTTGGGCCGTTGTTTCTGAAAATGCGTGCAAAATGGTTTGTAACCAAACCCGTATCTGATGCTTTTGAGAAAGTTGTGCAGCGGTCCTTTCTACAGGAATAAAACCATATTCTGCTAGAAACAACTAGTCATTAAGGGATTCGCAATATTTTTATTGGTTTCTTGTCCAACTTCTAGTGTATGTATCGAGATTATATTAGAAACGACGCCAAACAACACTCAGTTATTAAACTGGTACGTGAGGAGAATGCTTGGCATCATTAACTTCCAATCAAAAGCATAAGCACGCATTTTCGAAACAATGAGTTTGAGGATTTTGTTTTGAATGCAACTATTTAGGCATCGAATATTGCCATGTCAGCTGAGGCCGATTCAAAAATGGATGTGAGTGAAGAGCAAACGAATACGAGGTCGAATGGAGTTGAAGGACAGCTTAACGATGTGGATACGAACCTTTACAGTCGTCAAATGTAAGCATATGAAATATGTTTGCGAATAGAACACTGAACGTTATTAAATAGCGTTTGAAATCATCTTTATTGATCTTTTTAGTTATGCTCTCGGTGAATCCGCAATGATGCACCTTCGCAAAAGTTCAGTACTCATCTCTGGAATCGGAGGCGTTGGTGTTGAGATTGCAAAGGTAGGTGAAATTATTGGAATAAAGCGAGACTATTGTACTTTCAGAACTTAATTCTCGGAGGTGTGCGCCATGTGACGATCCACGACCAGAAAGCGACAACTTGGAACGATCTTTCGGCGCAATACTACTTGCGGGAGGAGGACTTGGGAAAAAATCGTGCATCGGCTTCTTTTGAAAGGTTTATTTTATTGTATTTTTAAAATTAAATTCTTGGATCTAGGCTTGCTGAGTTAAACGATAGCGTGACGTGCGTTTTAAACACTGACTCCTTGGCACTTGAACTAGTTGAAAAGTTTGATGTAAGTTTTTTCTTTTAAACAAATAACATTTGCTTTAGCTGATTATTCTGACGGACACGCCTCTCTCAATGCAACTTCAAATTTCAAACTGGGTCCGCGCCGCTGGTAAAAAGATGTTGGTGGCCGATTCTCGTGGATTGTTCAGGTCAGAAAATGTTTCACAATGATTGCTATCAAACTAAAATTTTAGTTACATTTTTACTGATCTTGGGCAACAATTCCGTATTGATGATTCAAATGGCGAACAACCACAAGAAGTAATTTTTGAATAGCTTGACAGAAAATAATAATCATTATTTAGTTTCACATTGAGCACATTGATCGTGGCACGGGTGATGTAACAACTTTGGAGAATGTGATGCACGGGCTCGTCGATGGCGATTTTGTGACTTTCACGTTGGATAATTTGACTTTACTTAAAAAAAAACAATTTCAGGGAGGTCAAAGGCATGGTACAAATCAACGAGTGTCAACCAATCAAGGTCACCGTAAAGAGTTTGTTCGGCATTACTTTAATAAAGTTATCTTACTTTTAGAACCACACATCTTTAATATTGGAAACGCGGCCGCGGATTTTGATGCTCATACGGAAAGTGGAAGAGGTCGTCAAGTGAAGGTGGCCTCCTATGTCGACTACAAACCACTTGCTGAAGCCCTACGGGATCCTGAAATTGCTTTCTGGGATTTTGCTCGAATGGAATATCCGCAACAATTGCACCAACTTTTTCAAGCTTTGTATGCATTTGAAGAAAAGGTACAATCAATTTTGCTGCTTTAATGTATTTCCTTTCTAGCATGGCCGTTCACCGAAGCCCAGATGCGATGACGATGCAGCCCTTCTCAAAGAGGAATTACCTGCTGACAGTGAAGTTGATGCGAGTCTCCTGAAGATGTTCTCATACCAAGCGACTGGTATGCTCGTTAACGTGTGTTCCGTCGTCGGAGGTATTGCTGCCCAAGAAGCTATGAAAGCTGTTACACACCATATGACTCCATTGAAACAGGTTTTTAACTATTACAGTGTACATTTCATGGGTATTTTAGTTTTTGTACTTGGATCATGTTGATGCTCTTCCCGGTGACTGGAATTCGTTCAACGCCGACTTGCTGACTTACGAAGATTGTGCTCCTCGTGGAAATCGTTATGATGGCCAGGCAGCAGTGTTTGGATGGCAATATCAAGAAACAATTGGAAGACAAAAATGGTATATTTGGCTCTCAAAGATTATGCCGAATTGAGAATAGGTTTATCGTTGGTGCTGGAGCAATTGGATGCGAGTTATTGAAAAACCTCGCGATGATGGGCGTGTCATCCGGAAAAGATGGATTGATTAAAATCACCGATATGGACCAAATTGAAATTAGCAATCTAAATCGACAGTTCCTCTTCAGACGCCCGGATGTTGGAGTGAGAGTTGTTTTGAATAAAACGATTACAAAATGTTTAGGAAAAAAAATCGGTTGTTGCTGCACGAGCTGTCAAAGTTTTTAACCCTGAGCTAAACATCGAGGCAAGCTTTTTTATATTTCTAAAATATTTGCTTTTAGTCAATGGCTGAACGTGTTGGACCTGATACCGAATCAATTTTCAATGACACATTCTTTGGTGCCCTGAATGGAGTGTTTAACGCATTGGACAACGTCGATGCTCGCCGTTATATGGACAGACGTTGTTTATTCTATGGTCTTCCATTGTTGGAATCTGGAACCTTGGGAACTAAAGGCAATACTCAAGTCGTCTATCCTCATCTCACCGAAAGCTATTCGTGAGTTGTTAGTTTATTACAGAGTATATCTTAATTTAGGTCTTCGCAAGATCCACCCGAGAAGGATATTCCAATTTGTACGCTCAAGAATTTCCCCAATGAGATTCAGCACACGATACAATGGGCTAGAGATCAATTCGAAAGTGAGCTTCCAATTGGCAAATGCAAATCATAATTTTTAGCTCTCTTTTCGCAACCGTCCGAAAATGCTAATCGCTTTTTGGAAGATAGTAAAGAATTCTTGAAACATGTCGAAACGCTTGCTCACAACCAAAAGGTAAGAACTATGTTCTTGAGCTTTGAATTTTTTTTAATTAGATGGAAATGCTGACTGCCGTCGTGGATGCTCTTGATAACGAAAAGCCAACTTCTGCCGAGGACTGCATTGCTTGGGCACGCCTGCTTTTTCAAGTAAATCTCAGTTTAAATTAACTTCTAATATTGTTTTAGAATAATTTCCATGATTCAATTGCTCAAATGCTTCACATGTTTCCACCAGAGATGGTGACGGATCAAGGCGCGAAGTTTTGGAGTGGTACTAAACGTTGTCCGCATCCGATAGTTTTTGACGTGGCAAAGGTGTGTTTTTGTTTTGCTGCTTTAAACATTCTTCACAAAATTCCATCGTTCATCTTAAAATATTTATCTTTAGAGTGAACATTTCAATTTTGTCTACTCGGCCTCAATTCTACGTGCTCAACAATATAATATTCCACCGATTCTGGATGTGTACGTTTCCTTTTTTGCTTCAATAACCAAATGTTTTTTTAGAAAACAAGTTGGAAAAATTGCAGCTTCAGTACAAGTAAAACCTTTTGTGCCAAAGAAGGGAGTCAAAATTGCGGTAACGGAAGCAGAAGCCAAAGAAATGAACGAGCGTGGCGTTGAAGGTAAAAAGCTTTTGTTGATGATGGTATTCTCAATTAATTTTAACAGATGGTGAAGAAGCCGAACTTTCTCTGAAGATCAAGCTTTCTAAATTGGAGGCAGCTGTTGCGGAAAAGCTCCAAGCGATCGATTTTGAAAAAGATGACGACACCAATCACCACATGGAATTCATCACGTCTTGCAGTAACCTTCGTGCTGGGAATTATGACATTCAACCCTCCGATGTTTTAAAAACGAAGCAAATTGCTGGCCGAATCATCCCAGCTATTGCAACGACTACGGCGGCCATTGCAGGACTTGTTTGCATCGAATTCATGAAGGTACAAATTAATATTTTGCCTTTTAGCACTACTTTTAGATGGTTGATGCTGATGGCAAACTTTCGGCTACACCTATGGATCGGTTCAAGAATGGTTTTATCAACCTGGCTCTTCCATTTTTCGGCTTTTCTGAACCAATCGCCGCACCAAAGAAAAAGGTAAACCGATTGATTGTTTTGTAAATAAATAAATTTTAGTATGGAGACAAGGAGTGGACAATTTGGGACTCTTTGACGATTAAGGCGCCAATGACTTTAAAGCAAATGATTGATTGGGTTCAAGTAAGTGTTATTTGTCTGTTCCTTCAATATTATGAACATTTTAGAATGAAGCTTCTGGTTCAAGCGTTACAATGGTTTCTTCGGGAGTTTCCCTTATTTATTCGTTCTTCATGAATGCTGCTAATCGCGATAAACGACTTGGCATGGAGTATGTTTGATTTTTTTTTTAAAAATAACCTTTTTTGTAGACTTCGTGATGTGGTGGCTGAAGTTTCAAAGAAGGAGATTCCATCATATCAACGATCTTTGGTTCTAGAGGTAAATTCTGAAGACGTACGATATGGAATGTTCCGGTTTAGGTGATGGTTGAAGACGAGAACGGAGAAGACGTTGACCTTCCATACTTGAAATACATTTTCTAAACCTGAATATGTCTTTTAAAATCTTGTGCAAAAATTATTGTATTTCGGGTTCTTATTGTTATAAATTACCGTATTTATTCTAATAGAAGCGCATGCGCTTCTGTTAGAGACCCTCGCGTCAGGAGAAAAAGTGCACCAAAAATTTAATTTTTAACCTATGAGTTTGGTGTCAAAACAAAGAATTTTTCACTCCGTTATCTGACGCCAAATTTATGACCACTCATGTGAGCGGGGCCTCTAACAGAAGCGCATGCGCTTCTATTAGAATAAATACGGTACCTATGCGGTCGTGAGGATCTCAGGCCTTTTGACTTTTGTTGTTTCAAGGTTTAATCGAGTTTAAACCGGTGTTTTCCATCTTCACTTTGATTGCCGCTTTTTAAAAAATAAACCTTTTTAAACTTTTAAAAAATAACAGTTACGGGGTTAAGAGTTTTGTAATCTAAAATCTGTAGAAGTAGAGTATGAGACAGTTTGTGAACGTATTGTTTGACAAGAAGTAATACTTGCCGGAAAATTTCGTTAAGAGGAGTGGAATGGTACCAATAGCTTCGCGAATGGACTAAGTGTAAGTAAATTTGTGTTGGTTTGAGTGGAGTTTCTGCTTGAAGAGCTCTAATAAAAACACATGCTTTTACTGGAACTCGTGGTAATTTGTTTTTCATTTTCAAAAAGGCATCGAGTGTCCGACGATGAAAAGTCGAGGAAAGGAAAGAGTGTCTTTATTTTTCTTTCCTCTCTCGCAAGTTTGGAGTTTCTCAAATCAAAACACCAATTTACTTCTCCAATTCTTGAAGGAGTGTGATCTTCAAATTGCCTCCTTTTAAACACACAATGAGCATTTTTGATCCGGGATTGCTGAGCAAAGGGAATCTGTTTTTCTGATAATTTCTTTGATTTTTTTCAATTGATGATCGAATACAAGAGCATGCTATTTATTGGAATACGACAAATTCACTGCAGGTTTTGATCTAAATACCTCCATAAATCCAGATTCAAATTCAAATGGCAAATAGAAAAAAGGTTTTGGAAATCTTTTTAATTAAAGATATAAGTAATGCAAAGCCGGAAAGTATCCAGCACTTAAAATCTTGAAGTTCTTGAAATATGAGTTAAACGTTTGTTCTTATTGCAACGCAAAGTGAACAAATTAATCACTTTCTTCTTGTTTTGCGGTAAAAGAAGAAATTATGAAAAATTATCAATTTAAAGATTCGACAGTGTTGGATAATCGATGTTTGTTGTCCAAAAATGCTTTCGTTTTCGCTTCAGAGTGACTTTGGTTTTTGGTGGAGGCAGTGGCTAAATGATCAGTCTCATTTTAAAAAAATCATTTTCTTACAAAACCGAACCCTTGGCATTTCATAGTGAGCAGCTGTATTGCTTCCATAGCCTGGAATCAGAATATCGATGAAGATTGAGATGGGCTCCAAGGCTCTGATCTGAAACTATTGTCAAAAGTCTATTGTCAACCTTCTATGAAAGAAAGCCACCTCATGTATATTTCCGTAACCGGGCGCTAAATAAATGACGTCATCTTCCGGGGTCACCACTTGAACACCTTCATAAAAAGTCTGAAAAGGAAGATTAAATGAAAATCAGCTGGATGAGTACCTCAATTTCTCCTCCGATCTCTGGAGCAACGTCACTTTTTGCAGAAAACGAGAAAACCTGCAAAAGCAGGTAATTGTATTTCAGAAAATTTAGATCTTTAGTTCAAAGAAACCTGAAATTTTCCATAGATAACTTTGATGAAGCCGTGAATGAATGGATGATCGTGCAGGGGCAGCTTATCTTCAACATCGAGAAGACCGAATAGACTCACAGTCATGTTGTCTGAGTAATGAATCTGAGAACAAGTTTTAAGTCTCAAAAAAAAAAGACAGATATACCGAAGCATAGTGTGCAGGAGATTTCGATTTTTCCAAGATTTCGTAAGAGGGCCTTTCTAGCTAAAAAGTTGACTCCATCTGGAGGGTGAAGATCGAATGCGTGATGGTGTGATGGTTGCCAGTTAGCACGGTTGCCTGGTAAGCGAAAGCTCGTGGGTTCGAGTCCCGGCGGCGCACGATTTTTGACCTGCCCTAGTTCCAACTAAAATATTAAATACGTTTTTTTTTTCTGATCTAAACACTCAAACACGCTTACCTGAAGCATTTTCGAGTCGACTTTAGCCAGGAAATTCATAACTTTCTTTGATGGAAATGGTGCTGATCGATTTGCAGCAAAAGTATTAGAGATGGCCAAAATTGGTTTAAGCGTTTGGCGCAAAGCTGGTCGATCTACCTAAAAAGATTTTGTTTTGAGTTTCCAGAAGTTTTTTTGGTTTGTTCACTGAAGCAGGACTAATCTAGTGTTAACAGAAAAAAGAAATCACCGTTTCCGCAGTCGAAAATATTTGCTTGGAGCTCAAAGAACTCTCACAAGCGCTCCCGTCAAGCATCGAAAATAAAAAAACGACTAGCATGTCATAAAGCTGAAACTTTTTGCTAGAAAACAAAATACAGTAAAAGATGGTATGGTAATGTTTCCTCATTCGAAAAGAGCTGTTGGTGTGCGCATCAAAATCACTCAACAATTTCTCTCAACAAAACGACAGCTGGGGATTGTGAGTGCGGGCTTTTGTCTTTGTTGTTTCAAAAAAAGAAACATCTGTTTGACTCTCTTAACACTTGTTTGCTCTTTTGAGTGGACATTGGATACATTTGAAAGCCTGGATCTGATTTGTTTTACACCGAGATGTTTCTGTTTTATTTTCAGAATCCCAGCAATGTTTTCTAGATGTTTACATTTCAAGTTGTTCTTGAAAATTGAAAATAATCGGCCAAAATCGCCAAAATCGGCCACCGAAAAGTCAAAGTCTTTCCCCAGCTCTTCATTGACATTTTAGAATTCATCATTCTTTAAAAAATAACTTTTAAAAGTTTAAAAAATTAAAAGACTTGATGCAATTCTTACAGTAAAACGTTGAGCAAGTAAAGCAAAATAGTGATTTCCTAATTTTACGACAGTTGAGGTGAAAGCGGGGAAATTTGTTCATCGCTTTCGGTGAACTGAACGAATATGAAAAGGACAGATCATTTTCACTACAAAACTACATCCACTGTATGCTCTTGAAAAACAGACGATAATTGCTTTAGGTGATTTTCCACTTTACAAGTGAATTCCTGCAGGTACACTGCACTGACAAGCACTGACAAGCAGCTTCTGTTCAATCAAAAGGGTTAAAGAGAAAATTCTACGGTTCTCTGTGCACGAATTTCTTTCTTTTTTGTCAAATTCGTACGTACACAAACACAGTTTCTCAACAAGTATGACGTTAACATTTCTGCTGTCAAAATCCTTGTTTTGGTAAGAAAACAGAAAAATTACGTTGCGAGGTGACACCGTAACATTGCAGGAATGGGACATAACATTGAAGCTGACTATTGAGCGTCATTGCAATCAGCTAAAACAGCTTGCAAGACAATGGCTGAAATAAATTGTGTTGCAGATTTCTATTTATCAAAACCTCTATAAAACAAATTTTTGAATTGCTTCAACTAAAAATAGGAAAAGATTTGTTTACTATCAATTTGTGAGAATCTATGAGATGAAAATACTAATAATAATAATAACAATAATATATAAATAAACAGATCAGTCAGTGTAAAGGTCAGCCCTTTACAATAAACTCAAAAAATTATCCATTTTAGTTGAAACTTTCAGGATTAGGGTATGCGCTGTATGCTGTGCGCTGTATGTGCGCATTTGTATGCGCTGATCACGAATCTGCAATCAGATTTTTGGCTGCTTTAGAGCTAAACACTAGCTGGCTTTAAATAATAGAATGGCAAAAGATAAGAATAGAAATCATCCTAAATTTCAGTATTGTTTGAAGACACATGCGACGATTAAAGCTGAACAAATTTTGTCTTTGAAAATATCCGTGGACGACTCTTTTTGACACGACACTATCCGACAGGCAATAGACAAGGATTTGCTAGTGTATTTCATTTGAAAAGTTTATCAGTTCATAGATTTTAAAAAAACTCTACTTATTACTTAGTCTAGAAATTTTTTGAGCTAAAGTAAAGCAAAGATTTCATAATTTAACTTTCAGGAATGCCTACGTATCAACGTTTTTCATTTCTGATCATTTTCCTGACATCTTACATTGTTCTTTATAATTTGTTCTCTGCGAAAATACAACCAAATCAACAACCAGGTTTCATTTTTTTTTCTTAAAACTTCTCATTCGTAAACGATTTCAGCCCAAAAGGTTTTGCTTAGCGAAAAAAATGAGCCAATCAAGAGCTACAATGGATACAAGTTTTCTTGTTCAAACTGTAAATATGGGAATACTCCATTGGATGATGCGAGATCTCCTTTTCCACTAAATGGAAATGAAATCTTTATCTACAAGGCGTATTATGATTGGAGGTTAGTTGGGAGGACTTAAAAAATAATGAGTTCAGCAGAAATTCTTTTCATTTCATGCTTCAATCGAAGAACCCAAACTTTGGGTTCACTTTTTCCCTTATTTGCCTTCTCTGCTCTCTAGATTAAGCAAAATTCGCTAGGTTTCTAGGCAGCTTTTCTTGGCAGCTTCTAAATTTATCTCCTTTTTCACTAAATGGAAATGAAATCTTTATCTACAAAGCGTATTATGATTGGAGGTTGGTTGTGGGGTTTCTTAAAAGGAAAAAACGGTTCGGCAGAAATTCTTTTCTTCATATTTCATGCTTCAACCTAAGAACCACTTTTTTTCACTTTTTCCCTCATTTGCCTTCTCTGCTCTCTAGATTAAGCAAAATTCTAGGCTAGGTTTCTAGGCTTGACAGCTTCTAAATTTCTTTTCTTGCTTTCTTGCTAGCGAGTTTCGCTATTATACAAATCACAATGATAGCAAACTTTTGTATTAACACGTTTCTAAAAGCTGAAAGAAAAAAAAAAGAACAAAAGCTTTATAGAGATCCGATAGGGCCTCGAATCCGTTTCCTCGCTGTGGCGCCATGTGAAGAGCTGGCAAAGCCTACCACAAACGAAAGCCTCACAATCGAATTTGGAAACAAAAAACTGGCAATCGGATGGATTTGTGCAACAAGTTGATTCGAAAAAGACAAATCTTCATCATCATATCGTTTAGAATGTCCTGAATACGGTTGTTTACACGCGGCAACCGACATCACATCGACTCCTTTCACCGAAGAGCCGCCGAATGAGGCGAGTCGTTAAAGTAGCTTGAAAATTGAAAGGAAAAGTTGAAATTTTACTTCAAAATATACTTTAGATCACCGTAAATAGAGGAGAGAAATCGGTGAGGTTAAAAGTGAATTTTGTCCCAAAAACGTATGAAAAGGGGATCACTTCGTGTTTGGAACCGCTTCATTGGTGAGGCTTTTTATTTGTATTAGATTGGCAACTTGAAAGTTGCTACTACTTTTTCGTATTTCCCCAGAAAACATATTTAATACGCCAATTGAATTAGACTTCTCTAGATAAAAGTTATACAGTCATGGACAAAAGTCTTGGCGGCTCCTGGGTGGCAACTTTCAAACGCAAATTTAGGAACTTTTCCGAGAGGCTATAAAAAAGTTGTCACAAGTATTTTCGTATTTTCCCAGAAAACATATTTAATAGACCAATTAAACAATTGAATTAGACTTCTCTAGATAAAGTCATATATTATCTAATTTAGGAAACGCTTAAGCAAATTTGGGCAACTTTTGAAATGAATTTGAGCAGAAATTCAAGTTTTTTCTGAAAATTCTTCAAACAGACATATAACTGAAGCGATTAGACAAATCAAGCTGACAATTCGGCTATATGCTTAACTTTTCATGCTTTACCTTTTTTCTATTAACATCAAAATAGGTTTATGTGAAAGAAAGTGCTCAAATCGCTTCATCGAGTGTTCATCATTTTTGATTGCTCCTCAACTTCTTGCCCCTCTAGAAATCTACAAAACTAAAGCTTTTCTAAATCTGTCAAAAGCTTGTTTTAGAGAATAAATAGCCCATTTTATTGGTAATTACAGTCAATTACAGTATGACTTAAATATGATTAATTACAGTCAAACCTCGTTAGTGAACTAACCTCGATAGTAGGATTTGCTTATTTTATAATGCTTTATCTTTTTTCTATTAACTTCAAAATAGGTTTATGTGAAAGAAAGTGCTCAAATCGCTTCATCGAGTGTTCATCATTTTTGATTGCTCCTCAACTTCTTGCCCCCTAGAAACCTACAAAATCGAAGCTTTTCTAAATCTGTTAAAAGCCTGTTTTAGAGAATAAATGAACCTTTTTATTGGTGAAAAATGTAGATTAATTGGTGTACTAGTTATTTCTAAAAAGTCCAATGAAGTGTACCAACTTTCAAGTTGCCAATCTAATATATCATAATTTTTATTTGTATATGTTGTGTCCGATTTAGATTGAACTTATCGCGGACGTCCGATTTAGATTACAGTCTATATCGGACGTCCGATTTAGATTCAATCTAAATCTTATATAGATTGAACAATAATATAACAACATATATAATAATTTCAATATAAGATAGCCATCTTAGATTGAAATTATTCTTCTTTATTTTCTAAATTTGCTCAAAAAACAGGTTCACCGAATGGCCACGATTAATCGTTTTCATGGAACTTTACCAGTTTCTCGGCTATACGAAATTCCTTTTCACTTGGACCACGATGACAAAAACTGTGAAGAAAGTGTTGGACTACTATGTGGAGAAGGTGAAACTGTTTGAAATGACATAAAGAATGCAGTCAAGAAGTTTGTCTAAATCAATCTTGTTCTCACAAAAGGCTCTTGGACTTTTTGTGTTTCCTTTTGTTAACTTTTGTTGTTTTGCATATGATAAAAGTTATTTAGGGTATTGCTGAACTTCGACCCTATCCATTGGTGCCATATACGGATACAGTACGAACTTTTGTTTACCTTGAAGATGAGAAGTTTCTCAGGTTGATCCCAATAACTCCACTTATCACATGGGAGAGCATCTGGTTGAGCAACATTGTCCTTTTTGGTCAAAGACAAAATATTCATCGAATAACGATATTGATGATTGGTTTTATATGCGGTGAAAAAGAGACGATGAAAAAGAAAATAAAAGCTTTTCTTTAGAAATAAGGATATTTCTCTATATGAATGGATGGAAGAAAAAGTAAAGAACAACTCAAAAATAGGTTTGTGATAATAAGAAGATGAGTGATTCTTCTGAACGTTAGTGATTCTTTGTTTTTTTAAAGCTAAGCTTTAAAAAAACCGCTTGATAGACAAGCTTAACAGTGGATAAGTTCAGGTGCATTTTCAATCAGACATTTTGGTCTCCAGATGAATCCGATGCTCATTCCAAAGCCATTCAATTATGAAGAATTCTTGAAATTTGATGGTTTGCGAGGGCCGACCATCTTTAATAATGATCGGTCGCCTAAAGTAAGGGGGTGGCTACTTTATGTCAAATTTTTTTTTTGCACAACTTGCCATAACTTTCTTCTAATCTTTATCATTTTGTAGATCTAAAAAAGTGCACCAAAATGACATCAAAAGCATAAAGATTGACCTACCTAAGTAGGTCAATCTTTATGCTTTAAGAAAGTTACGGCGAGTTGCGCAAAAAATTTGGCGCAAAGTAGCCACCCCCTAAAGTGAGTTGCTGTTAAAAAATACTTTTTTCAAATTTTCAAATTTTCAAACTTAATTGCTATTTGAAAGCTTTCTGGCAATCTAAATTTAGAATTTAGGGCCCTTTTCCAATATCGGGGGAGCGAAAGGGAAATCGGGGGAGCAAATTTTGGCAGCGCTACATACAGCGCTGTATGTCCTATATTATACAAACTACCGTCATAAAATCCGCGAATTACCCGTTATTCTCACAACCTTTATATTAGATTTATATTAGCGAAATAGATCTTTTCCCTTTGAGCGGACTTTCATCGATTCGCCACAATTGCAAATCCACGACTGGATGACTCCTTTGGTGACGAAATAATCGATTGCCGTCGATTCCTTGAACGCACAAATATCGGAGAAGCGCATCGTATCGGAGAAGGCGTATTAAAGTTTGAAAAAAAAAAACGTTGCAGTTAAAATATAGTCCCGGAAATGCATTTTTCGAGGGGACAAAATTTGCTCCCCCGATTTTCCTTTTGCTCCCCCGATAATCCTTTCGCTCCCCCGATATTGGAAAAGTACCGAATTTAGAAATGTTCGCTCAAATATTTCAAGTAATTTAAAGCAAAACATTAAAGCAAAAATTTCCAGGCGATTTTCCTCACAGAATTCACCCGCCAACCACACACTCACTGGATTTTGAAGCACTTTAAGCAGAAACACTCTCATTCGGTTTCGTTTTCATTTTTTAAACGTCTAAAATGAGTTTTTAGGCGAGCGTCGATGAAATTGTTTATCTACACGCAAGGGCTAGCTTTGCAGGAGCGGTTTGTGAACTTTAAGGCTTTTTCAGAGAAAAATTTCTGTGCACTACACGAAAATGCACTAAACTGTCGTATTTCCATACGAATTTATGTCTAACTAATTAGTTCAATAAAAATAAAGAAGTAAATTCCGATCTCTTGTTGTTGTTTCGATAAATTTTCGTTTCGACATTGGCAAGTCTTCCATCGCCCTGTAAAAATCCTTCTAACAAAGCGATCTGTTCAAAAAAATGTCTAAAATAAATCTAACTTTGGTTCCAGATGTCGAAAAAAAAAGAAAAATAACGGTGAAAAACAAAAAAAACGGGGGTGGGAAAAATGCGACCTTTTTTTTGCTGGAAAAGGCCTTAGGCAAGGCCGTAGAGCTTCGAAAATATTTCCATACAAGGGAATCGTATGCGTAGATTCCGAATTTCGACAAATCAGACCTCGCTGACACGTCAAATTTGGGCTAAAAGGCAAAAACTGCGGAAAATCGTTAAGTTGCGTAGTTTTTGCCTTTTAGCCCAAATTTGACGTGTCAGCGAGGTCTGATTTGTCGAAATTCGAAATCTACGCATACGATTCCCTTATATGGAAATATTTTCGAAGCTCTACGGCCTTGCCTAAGGCCTTTTCCAGCAAAAAAAAAGGTGCGCGAATGTCCAGGTGCGCAAAAAAAAGGTCGCATTTGTCCCACCCCCGAAAAACAAAAAAAAACAAAGAAATCGGCTAGTTGCCAAAAAAATTGGAGGGTTACGGTAGTTTAGTGCATTTTAGTGTGGTGCGCAAAAATTTTCCTTTAAAAAAAGCCTTAAAATCTTTGTGAAACTTTTTTGATTTTAGAAATTGAGTAAAAAGTCGCTGAACGGCACTCAAAATCTGATGCCAGATGTGGATTTATTGGGAAAGGTTGGTTTTCTTGATGTCATAAAAAGCTGATAAGCTCTAGAGCTGCTCTAGTTTTTAAGCTTTTTCTCTGATACAGCTTTGCTAAAAGCTTTTCTTCACAAATCAATAAATCTTTTTGAGTTCCTCCTTTTGACTTTTAGGGAAACCAACAAAATTTTACTTCTTATCTCCAGGATGTCGAGGAAAAGCTGCAAAAAATTCGCGATGTAACAAAAGAAATTTTCGGCGAAAACCCGCCGCCTTTCTCTCGTGAAACTTCAGAAGCTATGGCAAAATGCACGGGAAAGTTGGTGGAAACGGGAAAAAGTTTTTTGTTTTTAAAACTTTACTGTTACTATTGGACACTTTAATTTTTAGTTGGCTTCAAAAATGGCGTTGTCGAAAGCCGTTGACCGGGTGCTTTGATGTGGTGAAATATATGGAGGAATGGGTGTTCGCTAAACCGTCGGAAGAGAATGGATGGACAATTCTTTAGTCGAGATTTATTTGAAAGCCTTATTTATAAGATAAATAGTTTTTATATGATGATAAAGCATATCAAGAGAAAAACAATAACCGTGAAAGATTGCGGCAAATAAAAGCTGCTTTTTATTTTCTTTTTAGAGCCTACAAGTGGGAAAGATAATTAGCAATAATTACCGTACTTTCTCTAATAGTAATACACCCTGAGCGTCGCCTAAATTGCTCGAAATCTCGAGAACCGCTTATCAAAACCTATCGATATGGGCTCAGAAAATGTAGCTAACGATCAGATCTTGTAGGGGATTTGAGTGTTGGACTTCTGGGAAAACTTGGAAACTGTAATCGTCATCAACTCGGCTCACCGGGAAATATTAGGGAAATAGATCAGTCTGATCTACTAGCCTAACCTGGAATAATATACCGTCTTCTCTCTAATAGTAGTGCACCCTGAGCTTTGCCTTAATTCCTGGAAATCTCGAGAACCGTCTATCAAAGAGTAGGCAGACGTAGTTGTAGAGAAGACAGACCAAAAAAGTAGGCAAGACGTAAAATAATGGGAATTGGCCTTAGCTTATAGATAAAAAGATTTTACAAAGCTAAAATCCTATTTACCGTCTTCTCTCTAATAGTAGTGCACCCAAAGCTTCGCCTAAATTCCTCGAAATCTCGAAAAGCGCTTATCAAAACCTATCGATGTGGGGGCGGAAAATGTAGCTGACGATGAGATCTTGACGATGATTTGAGGGTTGAGCTTCTGCAAAAGCTTGGAAACCGTAAAATCGTCACCAACTCGGCTCGCCGGGGTGCACTACTATTAGAGAAAATACGGTAACAATATTAACAATAACATTTTGCTTATATACAAGTTGATTCTTAAAGGCTTTCTGATTTGACAAAAGGTTACTCAATTTTTCGTTCACTGAAATTCTGGAGCGATCCGAATTTTTCTCTCTATTTGAGCCTATGAATCACGCATTTTTTGCCAAAATTTTTCACTCCAGCCACTCCTTTGATCAGCTGACAAAGTCACAAAAGATCCGGATACTTCCGGAATTTCAGTAGAGGAAAAATTGAGCCTTTAAGAATCAAACACCCATTCCCATTAAGGCAGCTTATTAAATTTTGAACAAAAAAACTGTTTGAACAAGTCACGGGACAGTTTTTCGAGCGTCATTCAGCTGAAAAATTTCCTACTTAGGTAAGGAAATGTGGATATATAATGGCTGTTCGATAACGACACTTGCCATCGAAATTCAATCATTCAAAAAACCCTTCTAACCAATTCTCTCGAAATGCACTCAATTTCAATCATTTTCTGTGCCTTCTTCATGTTTGGTAGAATATTTTTATATTATTAAGAAAAAAGTTACTTAAAGTAGAGAATTGAAATCGTTTCTAAGTGCTACAAGTAAAAATTTACAGCTGTCTGCCACTCAGCAGCCATTGGAGGAGCTGAGAATGTGAATGTGAACGAGAAATCCGATGCCTTTGTGCCAAAGATCCTCCCTCATGTCCCTATCTGTGACATTTTCTGTTCTGTAAGTTACTTTAAATTAAATTAATTTAAATGTAATTCTTGAATTCAATCTCGGCTTTGTAAGAGAAAGATAAAGGAGAAATAACTAATAGAAAATTAGGACCCAATCAAGGGGTTGTCAGTGGATTTCAGCCTTTTTACTGCCTTCTTAACTATTTTGAAGGTCACATATCAAAGAGCATATTTTAAAGTTCGGCTTTGTTCAATTCAATGTCGGCTTTGTAAGAGAAAGATAAAAATCAAAGACCTAATAGAAAATTAGGACCCAATCAAGGGGGTTTTGAGTGAGTTTCAGCCTTTTTTACTATCGTCTTCACTTGGCTCACAGGTCAAAGAAGTAGTTCTTTTCAGTTAAATCTCTTTTTTTACTTTTGATCACGTCAATCCTATAACTTTCAGCCAGTTCCTATCGGCTGTGCTCAATGCTGCCGTCTGAACGGTCACACCGGTGGTGGAGCGTGTCAAGGAGTTCAATGTTGGTGTAACTAAAGTTCAATGTTGGTAACATCTTTCATCCATCATTTCATCATCATTTCATATTTTGTCCGTTTTACTGTAATAATTGCTCTTTTTTAAACTCTTAATAAATTATATTTGAATGAAAAACAAAAACAAAAAAGCTAAAAACAAAAACAAAAACAAAAAAGCTAAAATTGATTGAAATACCTAAAAGTACTTTTTAATCAGAGAGTTTATAAAGAAAACAAAAAATCTTGGCAGTTAAAATCAAGTATTCGTTTAATATAAAAGATTGAAAGTCGAAAAAATTGCTTAACAATGTTTCCTATTGTTTAAATAGATTTAAAAAAAGCACCTAGATCTATCGTGCAAGATTCGGGGACATTCTTGAGTTTCTTCTGTTTGGATTTTCTTTCAATCTTGAAAAATTGAAATTGAAGCGGAGACTGATGATTCGGGACTGACGCCGCTTTTCCTTTTCAGCAGAACAAAGCTTGCGATGCTGAAGTTTAGATTCTGGGGTTTTTTGGGAAAAGTGTCCTCTGACATAACGGAGTACGAATCTAGTTTTCTCTTAAATCTTATAAAAGCAGTAGTGCTAGATGAAGATTGGTAGTTAAAAATGAAAAAAAACTTTCATTCAGTCTTTGTAAATAAATGGTTTTTTGGGTATTAGTGGCCTTCCTGCGAACCCATCTCGCTGCAGCCGTGGCCGAGTGGTGCAGCGTTCGTTTCCAGAGCGAGACCTCGCAACTTCGATCCCCACTTACACTCTTACAAGGCTTTTCAAGGAGAACAAATCGTGAAACGACTTACACAAAAAAGCCAAAGTGGGGATCGAAAGTCCTCGTTTTGGAAGCGAACGCTGTACCACTGCTGCACCGGCAAGAAGGCCGCTAAGACACGGCTGCACTGGCACGAAGGCCGCTAAGACCCAAAAGACCACAGTAACAAAAGAAAACATTTCGTAAAAAAACTTTAGACCCTTATAGCCAATCTAAGGAAAAAACAATCCCCTTTAAAAAATTAGGCTCTTGGTATTCATCCACTTTTTTTTTTACTGCCAACTCCCTTGCCTCGAGTCCAGAAGTTTACTTTTGCAATGTTTAACATTTTTGTTCTTTGCAATTTTATAGTTTAGTTTTAGTTTTCATTTTTTTAAAGCCAATTTCTAGCGGTTCACACCAACCTCAATCCCAACGTATTGAGAGCCGTTTGTAAATTGGTGAACAATTGAAGGAAAACCGCATTCAACGATGGACCCATCAGATAATTTTGGATGATTGTGAAAAGGGTGATCAAAAAATAGTTTATGAAGTAAATAATCGAATTGCAAATCATCTGAAAGGAATTTTTGAGTTTTTTTTCTTTCAAATGTTTTTCAAATGAACCTTCAGCTCACCTGTTTCATCAGCCGCTTTTCAGCCGTACTCGCTTTGTGCTTGTGCCACTGAAATTGATTGATAAACAGCAAGAGTTTTGTAAAAAATGTTTCGTAATAAAACATTTGCAACAATGTGCGTCACTTGTGATCAAAGGTGCCTTCTTTTTTGGCCTTATAGAACCCCGATTTGTCGGGAAATTTGTACCCGAGGATTTGCGATGATGAGCAAATAGAATTTCACGTTTTCTCTCAGCTACAGCTACGAATTTGGAATCTCTAAAGTGTCAACTTTTGGTTCGATTCGATTTCACGCCGCTTTTCGGATGATTTCAAAATAAAAAAAATAATTTAGACTGTAGGTTTTTAAAAGAGACAAATGTTTTATATAAATTGGATACTCAAGGGGGGGGACAAATGCGCTTTTCTGCTGGAAAAGGCCTTAGGGAAGTCGTAGAGCTTCAAAAACGTTTTCATAGAAGGGAATCAAGCGTAGAATCCCGGAATTCGACAAATCAGACCTGCTGACACGTCAAATTTGGGCTAAAGGCAAAAACTACGCAACTTAACGCTTTTCCGCAGTTTTTGCCTTTTAGCCCAAATTTGACGTGTCAGCGAGGTCTGATTTGTCGAAATTCGGAATCTACGCATACGATTCCCTTCCATGAAAACATTTTTGAAGCTCTACGACCTTTCCTAAGGCCTTTTCCAGCAAAAAAAGGTGCGCAGATGTCCAGGTGCGCAAAAAAAAGGTCACATTTGTCCCGAACCCCCATACTCAAAGTTTGTCGTTTTACCTTCTTCAGCTTTCTTGCCGTGAAAAAATCGAGACTGATCGTCAGCGAGACGATCATCGTCCAGAGAACAGTGTTCCCTATTGAAATTGTTGTGATGAAATTGATGTCGAGTGTCGAAAAGGCAAACACCATCACCAAAACATTCACCAATCCGAGCACATAGCAGATCAACAGCTGTGCCAGCGGCCATTTCAAAGTGTATTGAAAAAAAAGACCGTTGAATGAAACGGACATGAAACGACTGACAAAATTGAGTAAGGGAAAAATCGGATTTAAAACCTGAATGATATTTCCACCTGACAGTAATAGTTGAAGTAGGCCATGAAATTTCCATAACTTTGAATAAAGCCGATCACTCCACCGTCAGGACATCTAAAACGATTTCATCTTCATTAAAACGAACGAAGTAAGCCCATCTGCTACTTACAAATCTTCAAAAAACGGGCACACAAACTGAATGAGTTGAAAGAGAGAGACGAGGAGACGATTCACGCTTTCACTCGTTGTAATCAGTCTGAAAAACCAACAAGGAAAGGTCAACTGGATGACCTATACCATTCCCAGAATTTGATGCTGATTCCGAATATGTATTCCGTTTTTGCTAAATAACAATCTGTCCGTAGTTATAAGCGTCTAAAGTTTTGTTAGGAAAATGTGTCTTAGCGGCTTTCTTGCGGACCCAACTTGGTGCAGCCTTGCCTTGCCTTGGCGAGACCTCGCAAGTTCAATCCCCACTTTGATCGTTTTTACTTTGTGTAAGTCGTTTCACGATTTGTTCCCCTTGAAGCGTCCATTCACATCTCTTTATTTGCCTTTGGTTCTCCCTGTTATTTCTG